GGGCAATATGAGAAATGAAAGCCGAGCTCTCTCTCTCTCTCTCTCTCTCTCTCTCTCTCTTCTCTCTCTCCCTTTCTCTCTCTCTCTTACGAACACACACCTCTCTCTGTCTCTCATACACACACACACACACACACACACACACACACACACACACACACATACACACACGGGATGAAGAGGGAAGAAAGAGGCAGTTTTCATGAACTCCATTAGCACTGTCTCCCGATAGTAGCCAGGAGCCCCCTCTTTCACATCTTAAGAACCCAGATCTCTCCAAATGTAGGTCTAAGGCCATTCAATGTCTGACCGAGCTTTCAACCTAAAGCCTCAGAGATGCGCATTTCAGAATCTTGCATAGATATGTAGACCATCTGCTTAGAGAGGGATGACTTCTTCTCACTACTAAAATGGTTCAATTATTTTGATCCATAAACATCAATTCTCCATTTCATCCTTAAATATAAAAGTTTAATACCATCTACAGTTTGAAGCGAAAATTCAATGGATATACATGATTTATGGTTGCGCCACTGTTTCATGGCTTTGCCACTGCTTTCCTTCAGCAGTGAGAGTCCAGGCTGTGGAGAGCTGGGTCCCTTTAGGAACTATGTTGAACAGAGAAGGAAGGAGACCAGAGAAAGAGAGGGGGCAGCTTTGGTTTTCCTCTTGTCTAGGTTCTGACGGAGTACACTGAAGAGGGGCATTCTCATGGTATGTCCGTGGAGACGGCAAAGCTGTGTGTCTTTGTTCCCCAGAAACATAAATGGTGCCAGGGCCTTGCATGTCCATGATCAAGAATCTCCACTCCTCTTAAACCCACTGTGTTTATTTTATCTCAACACACCCACCAACTGCTGGCTCACACAGGTCTGTCATTAGGCTACCTGGCAGCACCGCTGGCCACCTCACACCAGCTCCATGTGAGGAGGTGGCATTTTAGCGGTTTCTCCTCTGCGCTCTATTTGATGGGAGCGCAGCACATCACCCCGTGGTCTGGCTCCGGCTCCACTAGTCTGCAGCTAATGAGCTAATGTAAAACAAGCTGCTTCCCAGTGAGGCTGGGGAGCGCCTGGTTCCAAGCTCTAGGCTCTCACATTTCAGCCAGCGGGAGAGCTCTGGGAAACCACCTGGGTCCAGAAGCAATTGCCCTTTTCCTTCCCAGGAAGAAGCAGAGTCTCCAAGAAGGGAATCATGGGTACTCCTTCTACAGAGGTCTCAAGGGATTACACACTAGGGAAATGACTGGATCTACATGCAAATTTACACGCAGGTGTACATTAGTGGGTGTATGAGCATGTGATTACACACACACACACACACACACACACACACACACACACCCTCTCTGCACAGCGCCCTGAGGAATCCCAATATATTGCAATGCATCTTCCAGGAATCAATCTCAGCTGACTCGGAGCCACTACAGAATTCTCTAGGGAGCAGAATATCTGAAGACCCAGAGGTCATAGGGCATCCAGAAACTTTAGGGCTTGCTCTCTGAATAACTGAATTTTTCAGCTAGTTTAAGATTGCCCCATTTAAGCACAAAACCATTTTGCTGGGTTTTTTTTCAAATTGATATTTCAATGAGTTTGGATATAAAAGTCATAAACCTATTATATGTGTTCAATTCTGTTCCTGTTAGTTAGTCTCATTGCTGCAGCTCAAGGCCATTGTCATAAACATCAGGGGCTGTGCTTGGCTAGAAATTATATGACCAAAGGCTGCAAAGACACCACCGCCCTCTCCACCCCAGTAACAACTAAAGTGGATGAAAACAACAAAAAATGGGGCTTCCCGTAAAGGGTCCAGAAGCAGAAGTCAGAGGGTGGCCAGAGAGAAAAAGAAGTCCTCAGCAAGCCCGTTGGCAGAAGCTATTCTTCAAAGCATGAGGCCTGGGGACCAGAAAATAGCTCCGCAGCTTCTACTGCAGGCAACAAGACATTAAAGAGCACAACGTCAAGTGGCTGAACAGCATCAAAGAGAATGGTCCAGGATTCCATCCTCAGCACAGCAGAACATCAGAGTGATGTAACTGAAAAAAAAAATTAAGGAAGAAAAGAGATGCTAGGAGTATAAATTTATTTGTTTCCTTGGGTCACATGGAAATGCATCTGATGCCTTTAGCAAGCTGGCTGCTTTTCACAGACTCCAGTATTTGCTGATCTCCCGATGCTCACTCTACCCTCTAGACCGGTTTTCCTTGTTTGTTTGTTCTTCCCCTTCTAGCTCTCCAGATGTATCAGTTTGATTTCTTTCACTGTGATAGAGACCATGACCAAAAGGAACTTGGAGGAGGAAAGGGTTTATTTCATCTTACACTTCTAGGTCACACTCAATTGAGGGGAACCTAGGGAGAAACTCAAGAACCTGGAGACAGGAACTGAAGCAGAGGCCATAGGGGAACATTACTTACTGGCTTGTTTTCCATGACTTGCTCAGTCTGCTTCCTTATACCATCCAGGACTACATGATCAGGAGGTGGTACCACCCACACCCATCACTAAGTAAGAGAACACCCCACGGGCTTCCCATAGGCCAATCTTACAGGGGCATTTTCTCAGTTGTGTCCCCTCTTCTCAGATAATTCCAACTTGTGTCAAGTTGACAAAATCAAAGCAAACAACCCAAATAACCCAGCCAGGACACAAGGGAAAGAACAAATCTTTAGGATTTGCCATGAGCAGAATAGAAAAGACCAGGAGTCTTGAGAGTCAGAACCAGATTCCTGTGTCACGCCAGCTGCTTCTACCCTTGTGACTCTGACTTGTCACTTAATCTCTGTTGTGGAATATTAGTTAAGGATGTGTTACATTTGTTTAGGCTGTAGAATATTTGTTTAATGATGCAAAGAAGTGTTTCATTCTTTCATGTTGCATTTGTTTAACTCTGTGAAGCTGTGTGCCTTTGCCTGTCTACAACATTTGATTGGTCTAATAAAGAGCTGAGAGGCCAATAGCTAGGCAGGAAAAAGGCTAGATGGGGCTGACAGGCTGAGAGAATAAATAGAAGGAGAAATCTGGGAGGAGATCTAGGAGCAAAAGAAAGAGGAGGAGAGGAAGACTCCAAGGGCCAGCCACCCAGTTACACAGCAAGCTAGACAGACAGAGGTAAAGAAAGGTATACAGAAATAGAGAAAGATAAAAGGCCAGAGGCAAAAGATAGATGGGATAATTTAAGTTATCAATTAACTTAAATTAATTAGAAACAAGCCAAGTTAAAGCCAGGCATTCATAAGAATAAGCCTCCATGTGATTTATTTGGGATTTGCGTAAAGAGTAAAAGGAACAACCAACTACAAATCTGAAATTCAAATTAGCATCTTTCTCTCTAAGGTGGAGAAAGAAGAAGGCAGAAATAATACCAAACAGGGCAAGAGCACAGTCCAGAGGAGTCACATGACTCACTTCTGCGGAAGTGGCCACAGTACAGGTGGGAGCACAGACACAGACATGCCCTGTTCCGACACAGACACAGACATGCCCTGTTCCAACGCTGGGCTGGCTCAGTAATGTCTACAAGACTTGAGCTGCGCAAAGTGAGCTCTCAGAACACATGTGAAGACTCAAACACCCATTCTAACAATAGGGTCCAGCCTAGCAAATAAGAAAACGCTCTGCCTGCCCACTCCACAGCTAGTTCCTGAGCCCTCCTTAAGAGCTGTTTATACATCCTCATGAACTCACAGACGGCAGCACGTCCAAGTACAGTAATTTCCCACTTTCATAATGAATATGAGGAAAAATCCTCATCTTGATTATCCGATTTTCCAAATAATTAAAACCCAGGAAGATGAGATCTTTGCCATCTAGATATCAATTGCTTTCTTTCTTCAAGTAAACTCACCTGTGAACCACACTGCTAAACCCTAAGGAGGGATCTGTTCTTAAACTCCTTCCGCCTCTCTGTTAGGTCTCTACTGTGCCTGGAGGTCACCTTCTCCTGGTTTTTCCTTACCGGAACACCTATCCTGGGTACATGCAATAAGCTCACCAAGCATCTGACAGTTTAGCTTAGTGGGAGAGTACTTGCCCAACATACACAAGGCACTGAGCCTGATTCCCAACGAAATCAATAATATAAACTGAATTGAAATGCCCGTCCCTACAATGCTGCTACTCCGAATGACCCCTCACCTTGTTTTAATACACTTTAAGATGGTTTTGGAAGCCTATGTGAGCACCCAGCTCCTTGCGGGGAGTTCCCAGCCTCTGCCCTCTACACATGCTGTTCACAGCACATGCTGTTCACACGGCATGATGTCTTTAACTGTGAGTTTGCACATCTGCCTTCCCCACCAGATGCCAGGTTCGAACAAACAGCTTCATAATGCATACAGATAACCTAGGGACCTCCTTAAAATGGGCCAGGTCAGGAAGGAGCGTCTGCATGTCTCATAGCTCCTAGCTCACTCGAACCTCGGCCCCACACACTTCGCCTGAGTCACCAGATTCAGAGTAGGTGTCTGAAATTTCAGGGGCCCCGTCCCTCATCTGTGTTTCAATCAGATGCCCAGCAGCTCCCTGACAAGATGAGAGGGCAGACGTCAGGGAGGCTGGCAGAATGCAGAACAGCACGTACACACGTGGGCTAGATGGCAGTACACTAGGGGATCAGCTTGTCAGAGGGAAAGCAAGCAGTGAGGCGAGAGACAAGACTTATAGCGAATAGGATATGGGAAAGAATGGCAGAGGCAGAAGGGAAGAAGACAAGGGAAAGATGAAAGAGATGTAAAGGAGACGGGGGGGGAGGGGGAGGGAGAGCCCTGGTTAGCTGCCCTGTGGACTAAAGTCTCCCGAGATGGGTACTCTAGTCCTTACACCATTGAGGGATGATACGTAGTTGGCGCTCCCTTCTATGTCTCTTTCTGGCTGAGCAATGAGGGACCTGCTGTTCCAGTAAGACTATGAATGAGCATGACTCATGTTATAGGTGTGCAGAAGACAGTCCGGCAGTAGGCAGTATTCCAGCCACCATGCAGCCCAAACAAAGGTTACCTGATACAGTTCGATCCGTTGTTCAGCCACTCGGGCTTTGGGGTTCTGCAAACGAAAGACCCTGAATTCTGCCTTCACCAGATTAGAAGCATTCTTCTCCATTGTCGAGACATCAAAGCGGACAATTCTGAAGTAGGGTCTGTAGAAAGTGGGCGGGATGGCATCTGTAAAATGTTAGGGCAACGGTTGAGAAAGATTAAACCCATCGTGCTCTCGAGAAAGACCACAGTGTGAGATAGTCCCAGGGAGCCATGTGGGAAATGTCTACGGAATTTCATTTCCAATGGCCAATTTAATACCATTAACAATTTAACCAGGAACAAAACGAAAATCAACATGTGTGTTTAGTTCCAGAGAAGCAGATTAAGAACGATTAACAAACCATTTCCAACCACGTCTGAAAGCAGGCAGTTAACCCTGTCTTTTGAAGGTTGACGGACCAGCGGAAAGCCCTAGATGGTTAAGGACTGGAACAAGTTCGTGACAGTTGATGGCTGGAGAGAGCTGCTGGGCTTGCATACACTTTAATCAGATATGCCAAGAAAATCGCTCCTAAATAGCAAGCCTTCTGCCCATGTGTTTTTTTTCCTTGAAAGTTTGGCTCCAAATACTCCACTCCTATTCAGCCTCATGGACTGAGTTGTTTCTTACTTTCAAAGCTTGAGTTTTCGCGCATATGACCAAGTTATGATAAGGCAATCTGAAAAGTAAAAATAGATCCACAAGCTACCCACACCTGGTCCAGCCCTCAAATTCTGGGGTGTGTGTGTGTGGGGGGGGGTAACATAATCAGCAGGTAGGTGGAAGGTGATCCTTGCTATGAAAGAAGAAGAAAGCATCAATTTTTTTTTTTTTTTATTTTGGAGCCTTGTGGAAGACAGCATTTGTGGTTGTACACAGTAATTTCAAGATCATTGCTTAGAATTCTGTTACTGTTGCTTTTGAATATGAAAGTGAGGTTACCCTAAGATTGTCCTGCCTCGCTGATGTCACCTCCAACATTCATTGAGCACCAACACTGGGACAACAGGCCATTGGATTTTGGGTATGTTTCTATAACCTTCCAAAATTTTCCTGTGGATTGACCTTCCCCATCCCACAGTATTCCCTCTAATCTAGAAGCGCTACTTCATTTTGCCTTTGTATGCTCACAAGGACTTATTACAATGTAATCATTCACACTTGATATTTCTCTTTGAATATGCTGACTGTTTCTGTCTTGTGTTTGTTTGTTTTGCTTTCCCCTGTGAAATTTTAAAAATCTGGAAGGTAGAGATTACCTGTAAGGAATCCCCCTCCCCCCCTCCCAAATGCTACATAGTCAGGGCAGGGTTCTAAATGCCAGGAGTTCCCCAGAGATCTGTTTGCATAGTTGATCATCAATGGGGCCTTGAATGAGTCAGGTATCGGGCTATTGGCAACACTAACTTATTAAAGAAGTCTCCGTGCCGATCTTGAAGCAGATATAAATATGTCTCATGAGTCTGTGACAATTATACCGGAGCCCGAGGGCCACTGGAAACAAACCCAAGTTCCTCATCTTTAGGGGGTCTGCAGTTTTCGCCTTGTAGGTGCCTTTTCTTATCTCTCCCCATGTCCTTGAGACTGGGAATTCAGGCTTTATGAATTCCAAGTCATTTGCCCCATGAATTCAGGCTTTGTAGCTGGCAAACCAGAACTCTCAGAAACAAACAAACAAACAGCCCCACCAATCCAAAATAAGCCGGCTTTGGAGAAATGAAGGCATTCACTGAGACACTGAGATGGCCCTCTGTGGAAGAGATGGTGGAAGCCTTCAGAGCAGCAGGAGAGTCTTTGGAGTCCTCTAGCATAGCAATTCTGTAAGGCAGCTGCTGAGACAACATCATCTTTTTCTTTGCTTGGAATAGAACCATCCCAGCAATCATGATTCCTATCCCCATGCTAAGTAGCCCAGCTGAAAACAGCTCTGTTGCCCTGGTAGAGCCTGCCAGGCAGAACGCTCAAGCCAGGCTTCCTGGTTTTCCACACCATCTTGGCCAGAACCTTCTACAGGAGACATGGCCACATTCATCTTTGCTTATCCTCTATGTTAGACAGCAGAGGCTTCAAACATCCTTTGAAAGCACATCCTGGAAGAGAAAGACCAATTTTGTGTGTTTCCTGCCATTAGCCAGTGTAAACATCTTCTTTTCTCCCCTCTTCTAGCCATGCAGCCCCTCTGGACCCATTCGACTTCCACAAAGCAGCTATCTTTCACACCCCTCTGCCACAATCCTCTCCTTCATCGAGTTTGTAAATAAGTGCTTTCCAGATTTATTTTTATTCTCTTTTGTGTTTATTAAACTTTGAACAATTTTTTCCCCTTTCTGGTCTCCTGCCCATATACACGCGCTTCCTTTTTATGGCTGCCTCAGCCCGTGAGGTCAATTTTGTTTCTACTTCTTCTAAGCAATCTCCAAATGATCCTGTCCCAGGCTTTAGAGCTCCGACGGAGCTTCGGCAAATATTTACAAGAGTCGCTTGATGGCTAAGTGCGGTCCCTCGACTGTGTTCCCTGCGTCCCAGGCAAAACGGTCCTTTCTGCTGGCTCACAGAATCATTTAGCAGCCTATATTTCAACCGGCTGATAATGCCAACCTGCATTGAGGTCCCTGGTTTGTAAATAAAAGCAGTTTAATGTGCAAGGCGGAAGGCTAGCTGAGCACTTCCGACCAGCATCTCTGGTCAGGTCTTGGAACCAAGAGAAGCAACCAGGCCTGGAGGAGGGTGTGATCAAAGAACTCAATAAAAGTTGCTGACCCAGGAACCACCACTTTTAAGGGAGCATCGCAGCCGTCCCTACTGTCATTTGCTTACTGATCACAAGTCCCCTGACCTGGGTGAGGGACTCGAGCAGTTTGCCAAATGTCCTCTCATTTGGGGGAAATATAGCTATAAACTGCTCCACCAACCAGAACCAGAACAAGGTAAGCTCACTCCTTCAGCAGCGGGGTAGAGGTCTAAGGGCTTGAGCAGCCCCGAAACACCCGCTTAGCTTTGGAGGAGGAACGAGCTGTTTGCTCTGCCTCCCACTCTGGGATGGGTTCTTGCTATGATCCTCTGGTAATTCCAACCCCAGTTTCCATCCTCTTGCCAGGCCAGGTACTCTTGCTTCTTGCTTCAACAGCATCAGTTTACCCACACCGACAGCCTTGCCTACTCCCCCTCTCCATTTCCGACCCACGTTTCCAACTCAGGCAAACTGATTTTCCTCCAACTGTTTGGATTTCACACCAGCCGCTGACTCTGTTGGTTTCCCATGTGCCTTGCACTCAGAGGAAACCGTGTGCTTCGAAGAGTCCATATGTCACGGATTGAGCGATCTCCCCTTCATCTTGCTCTGACTATACATCTTTGCTAAACCAAATTTGAGAAATTGGAGAGCTGGGGGACAGGGATTTAACTCTTTGATAATTTTGCAAAGTATATACAGAAAGCTAAATGTAGCACTTAATCACATACTACTTTATAAATACTACAGACTGATTTCAGTCTGTTCCAAATATCTAATTTATCATGTATATTGTATTCTCTCTCTATAAGCACCTTCTCGGGTGTCTTTTATTTACAGTTATTTATTTCTTCCTAGCCCAGGAGCATGTGACCAGAGCATACACACAGGATCCCTGTGCTTGGAAAGGTACCACACTCCAGCTGAATGTGCTACAGTGGCATCTTGAAATCCTTAACTTTTTATTCATGTTTTGTGAGAAAAGTCCTACCTGACAATGGGGTATGAGGCTTGGAACATCAGCTCATGCACTGACAATCTTTCCAGAATTCTTTGCCTCTGCTTTTCGCTCTCTGGTGGCCCCATCCTCATTCAGTGTTCTTAGATCACCTAGTGACCACTGTTATTCTCTACACCTAGAAGGGGTTAGGTGCACAACCCAAGCCATTTCATGGTGGCAACTCTTACATCACTGCTGGCCGTGCTATGATGCGATGAGAGGAACACTCAGCAGGACCACACCTCGGCCTGCTCTAGGTACCAAGCCCAGGCCACTGTGGAGTTTACCATATTTTGGGATAGAGCGACAGATTTATGAGATGAATATGCTAGCTTGGTAGGGCATCAGTGGCAGGTAGGTGCTATTTCTTTCCTTCTTTCCTTCCTGTCTGTGTCCTTTCTTCTTTCCTGGTGCTTTCTTCCCGGTGATCCTAGTGATCTAACGCAGGGCCTCGTGCATATTACACAATTGCTCCACAACTGAGCTATTTCCCCAGCTGTTCTAGAATTTCCTGCAGCCCCTCTTTTTTTCTGTTTGTGCAGGAGACCCCATGGTTTCCCTTTGAAAAAGATCCTCTGCCTTGCTTCCCTATCCCCGCTACAGCCACACAGAACAAGAAGCTCTTGGGGCAGGAAAGACCTCAGTGGGGATCTCAGTTCTAATAGCAAGTCAAGCAGAGCTTGGCTGAATGGGCAGCAAGGACACGATCCGGCTTTTCTGAGCTTGTCTCTTCATCTGTACAGCCAGGCAAAGAGATAGTGAATGGTGCTGCTAGGGTCACACGAGCAAGCAGAAGGGAAGTTGGAACCCTGGATCCTGCACACATCTCTACCCAGGTCCCTTGCAAAGATGCCAAGTGGCCATTGGGCCTTTGTAAATGCGCCCGGGAGGGAAGCTCTTGCTGCCTGACAGAATTCATTAGAGGCAAAGAGAAGGAACAAAAACAGCAGCATGTCCCAGGGCACTGTATAAAGGGCTCTGTGTCTTCTAATTCCTGTCCCCTTTTTGGGGAGGAGCTAGTCACCAGAGTCTTCACGGTTCCCACCATCTTCCACTTGCGGTACTGAAAGTCCTGGTCACTCCAAGGGGTGACCAGATGATTCTGTCTTCCCACGCTCACCCAGAATGTTCAAATGAGGTGTCCCCCCGCCAAAAAAAAAAAAGGCCAGGTGTAATAGCACTTGCTCATAATCTCAGCATTTGGAGGCTGAGGTGGGAAGACTCATGGGTGAAGCCAGCTAGACTATACAAGTAGTGTTCTAATTCTAAGCTAGCCAGGGATACATAGGAAGACAAAAAAAACAAACAGCAATACCAACAACCACCATAAACATCCTACAAAGAAACCAAGGTGAACATAGGTGTCCTGAAAAAGAACAAAGAAATAGAAACTGTAACAAATACCCCAGAAT